TTGACAATCTCACCTTCCCTGTTTCTTTTTCAGGAAATAACTAAAGTAAGGAACAAAATATAAAGTCTTGGACAAGATTTCCCAAAAGTCCATTCTTGTAAGTATATGGATATGTGAGGCAAAGTTGGGTGGAGTGCAGGAGGTGAATGAAGGGAGGTCAGAAATGAGGTCAAAGCTGACAACAGAGATGCTGCTGGAGGACGGTCCGGGAGGAGCCCACCTGCTTAAAAAGAGAAAGAATTTCAGCAGAGAAAGATGCTGTGCCCCTGCATTGATGGTCAAATATAGTGGTGTAGATATTCTCACTAGCACAATCATTAAGTAAGACTGGGTAAGTTTTTTTTACTATATCTACTACAATTACATAAGTGTATTCAATGACTGATTTAGAAGAAATTGAAAAATAAATGTCATTGTCAAATTGTCATCAATGTAAACTTTTAGCAATAGATTTAAAGTCAATATAATGATTTCTTTTAGAAAAGAAAAAAAAGCCACGAGAATGAGCATCAAGGTATGTCATTTCTTTTGCATGTTGGTCCAATATTATATTATTACATTTTATATATTATATAATTACATTCAATTTATTACATTTTATATATGATATTATATTACATGCTAATTAAAATGTTTACTAATATGTAATTTTTCTTGACAAGGTATTTGTAACTTGGGTGGTTATTGTTACAAGTAAGTTTGATTAAAAAGGAAGCTGTTGTTAAAACCATTTAATACTGACATTTGTATTTGAGATAAAAAATATGCTAACACTCCTTGTCTGTCATTACTTGTAGGTACACTTATCTCACCTTCCACTCAGAGTAGGTCTGATTTTCTTCTTTATAATTAAAAAAATATATATATATTCAAAAGACTTAAAAGTCATATGACACGCTGAAAGGCTCTCATGTGGTCACCCTTAAAACCTGTCCTTTTTTGTGTGTGTGTGTGTGTTTTTTAGGTTGTATAACTCAGTGGTTTGACCATGATGACCCTGATGATGAAAATGGAGACAGTGAGCTCTTGGCTGACCTTCTCAATATATATCCTGGACAAATATGTCCAAATCCAATCGATATAGATGTAGAGCCAGTCTCCGGCATACCGTCAAATGAAACCTTCATTTTCATTTCAGAAGTGTGAGTGTATCAAAATCATTACAAAGGTTTCAGGTACTATTTTGAGCCATATAACAAAAATTATCTTGCACGGCAATTTATATGTAAAGGGTTTTTTTTTTTCTTCTTCTTTTTTTTTCAGAAGATACAATTCAACAATTGGGTTTGAGTGCATAAATTCATACCAAAGAGAAGTATGTGATGATTATAAGGTGCGCTTCACCTGCCCAGAGGAATGGTGTTCAAGTAAGTGTCATTTACACACAAAAACAGACCCAGCTTGTTACTAAATAACTGACTAGCAATTTACAATATTAAATTGTCTAAATACTTGTTCACCTTCCGTTATAAAAAGTTGTAAGAACTGTAGGTATGATTTGCAAAAATGTCATGCAAAATAATATCAAAGTTCAAAAATAATTCAGATGTAATTTTTCCTTTCTAAAGCAGAAATCAATGTGATGATCTCTTGTTGGTTTTGGATAAAATGATAATATTTACTAAGTTGGTTTTCCTCTGTTAGCATGTAGGACACCCTGGTTTGACCAAGGTAATCCAAGTATAATAGGAGACTCTGAGACTCTGTCGTCAATCATGTTGACATACCCACTACAGGTCTGCGCTCAGCCCATCGCTATTGAGGTTGCAACCACCAGTGGGATCCCTGTACTGCCGGATGCACGTTTTCCAATGTACGACAAACAATTTCATATGTTCCATTTTATCTAATTTTTATTTTCAAATAAAATAATGATATGGATACATTGTTAATCTAAAGACAATGTGCCTATTCCACCAAACATGTTTGCATTACTTCTATGCATAGAATATCTGTTGCAGATCGCTTTCAGTTTAGCCCTTGCAACTCCAACCATTTCTGTACTTGAAGGAAAGTACTGAAATATGAAGTTTAGGAGCTGAAGAGAATGCATGCCCATTGCCTGTTTACACATTTACATTCACAGAAATATAAATGTAACATTTAAAGTAGACAGCAGTTATAATACTTGTCTTTATGTCTGTGCTTTATTTTAAACACTCACTGTTGCTTATACAATTGCCCATTAATTCTCCCTGAATTGAAAGAGCATCTTAGCCAATCTGTTCAGTATCTTAAAAATTTGTTTCATATAGCGCAGCATGTTAAACTGGAGCTTTAAGAGCAGTCATGCAATAAAGTGTACTGTGTCTCATCCCATTTACAAGTTTCACTATTAATCAGACAATTCTACATACAAAACACTAAAATTCCTAGCATATTATAAGATGCTTTTTTTTGTAATTAATGTTAGAAGAAGCATTTCTTTTTTGCAGATATGATCCAACACAGGGCTTTACTTGTGTGAATCCACTACTAATTGGACAGTTGTGGTGGAAGTGGTGGTGTAAGGACTACAAGGTTCGTTTCACATGTCTAAGGAGTTTTTGTAAACCAAGTATGTATATTTATTTCATCTAATTTATAGTTTATGATTTTTTGTTGTTGTCATAACAGTTTTCTCTACATGTTATTCATCAGAGTGTGTAACAAAGTGGTATGACTCTGACGACCCTGATACAAATGGAGGCGATTTTGAATTTTTGTCTACCATTTTCAACAAGTACCCTGGAGAAATATGTCGAAATCCAATCGCAATAGAGGCTCAGACCGTCTCTGGCGATCCTGCGTATCAAACTGGAAATAAAATTCAACTGTGAGTCTATCCAGTTGTAACACTGAGTATGTGAAGAAACAAAAAAACTGTGTTAACGGGGTTTTCTAAATGATGTTCTTAAATTATTTTGTCTTTTCTGAAGGTATATTTCAGCATCTGGGTTTTCTTGCACACATGTAAAACCAGGATTTTGTGCTGATTATAAGGTGCGCTTCACCTGCCCAGATGAATGGTGTTCAGGTGAGTGACATTTGCACACTAAAACAGACCCAGTGTGTTCCCTTGTAAAAGATTAATATTATTAAAATACATTTATTTCAAACTAAGTATAGTTCAAATCTATTAACATATTTACTGATATATCGCTCGAGACTTACTGATATAAAAATTATAATTAAACTTTATTTGGAGTCCTGTTTCTGCACAATGCGCATTCCTTAATATTAGGCCTAAAATGTGTTTTAATATCACTATTGAAGGGTTGTATGATCTCTGAATAATATCAGTCTTTAAATGCAAGATATTTAAAGTCTGCCTAAAGTATTCTTGCAATAGTTTCACTTTAGCACGATCAAAATTTTGACCCTGGACCACAAAACCAGTCATAAATAGCACGTGTATATTTTTAGCAATAGCCAACATAACATTGTATGGGTCAAAATTATAGATTTTTCTTTTATGCCAAAAATCATTAGGATATTAAGTAAAGATCATGCTCCATGAAGATATTTTGTAAATTTCCTACCGTAAATATATCAAAATTTAATTTTTGGACTTCATTTGTGCAACTCTAAAGGCGATTTTCAGAATATTTAGATTTTTTTTGCACCCTCAGATTCCAGATTTTCAAATACTTGTATCTCAGCCAAATATTTTTTATTTATCTTATTTATTCAGCTTTCAGATGATGTATAAATCTCAATAAAAAAAATGGAACCTTATGACTGGTTTTGTGGTCCAGAGTCACAAATATACTTTGGTAAATCTTTAGTTGGACTTCAGCACCACTTGCGCACAATTAAAGTGCATTAAGTACAAAATTAGTTGTTCTAATTTAGCAGACTTTAAGCACACCCGTTTAGTATACTGAAATTACAATTGCAGGGTATTTTTATTAAGTACATAAATGTGTAAATGTATTTGTACTTGGCATGAAATAAATGTATTTCAAATATATTTTAGTATATTTATTTTTCACTAGGTTTACCAAATAACTGATTAGAAGTTTACAATATCATTAAATTGTCTGAAATGCGTGTTCACCTTCCATTATAAAATCTTGTAAGAACTGTAGGTGTGATTTGCAAAAATGTCATGCAAAATAATACCAACGCTCTAAAATAATTCAGATGTAAGACTAGGAATCTGTCAAAAATATTTAGAATTTTTCCTTTCTAAAGCAGAAATCAATGTGATGATCTTTTGTTGGTTTTGGATAAGATGATGGTATTTATCAAGTTGGTTTTCCTCTGTTAGCATGTAGGACACCCTGGTTTGACCAAGATAATCCAGATAAAGAAGGAGACTGGGAGACTCTGTCATCAATCATGTTGACATACCCACTACAGGTCTGCGCTCAGCCCATCGCTATTGAGGTCGCAACCACTAGTGGGGTCCTTGTACTGCCGAATGGACATTTTCCAATGTATGACAAACTATTTCATATGTTCCATTTTAAACTTCCTTCAAATAAAATAAATAATGATATGGATACATTGTTAATCTAAAGACAATGTGCCTATTCCACCAAACATGTTTGCATTACTTCTATGCACAGAATATCTGTTGCAGATCGCTTTCAGTTTAGCCCTTGCAACTCCAACCATTTCTGTACTTTAGTGAAAGTACTGAAATATGAAGTTTAGGAGAAGAAGAGAATGCATGCTAATTGCCCGTATACACATTTACATTCACAGAAATAATGTTAGAAGATGTACTCTTTTTCTGCAGATATGATCCAACACAGGGCTTTGCTTGTGTGAATCAACCACTATTTGGATGGTGGTGGTGGAGTTGGTGGTGTATGGACTACAAGGTTCGTTTCACATGTCCAAGGAGTTTTTGCCAATCAAGTATGTATATTAATTTGATTTACTTTATTACTGTATGTTATATGATTTGTTTTTTTGACACAACGATTTTCTCTGTGTGGTATTCATCAGAATGTGTAACAAGGTGGTTTGATTTTGACGACCCTACAAAAGGAGGTGATTTCGAACTCTTGATGGACCTTCACAATAAGTTCCCTGGAGAAATATGTCCTAATCCAATCGGAATACAGGCTCAGACCGTCTCTGGCCAGCCAGCATTTCAAACTGGAAATTACATTATACTGTGAGTCTATTAAGTTGTAACACTGAGTATGTCAAGAAACAAAAACTCTGTGTTCTTTTTTTTAATGATGTTCTTAAATTATTTTGTATTTTCTGAAGATCTATTTCAGCATCTGGGTTTTTTTGCAAACACGTAAAACCAGGATTTTGTGCTGATTATAAGGTGCGCTTCACCTGCCCAGATGAATGGTGTTCAAGTGAGTGACATTTGCACACAAAAACAGATCCAGCGTGTTACCAAATGACTAACAGTTTACAAATCATTAAATTGTCTAAATTGCTTGTTCACCTTCAATTATATAAATGTATATGTATATGTTAAAAGGTATATGATAAAAAATACAAAATATAAGTACCAAAAGAAAACATTGAAATAAGACCAAGAGTGTTATGCATAACCTGACTAGTTATGTACAAGATCATTAAATAGTGTGGAGATTTTATTCATCTTACATTTTAGAAAGCTTTGGGAAGGAAAAAAGATTTTGAAGAGTGTAACTGAAACAGATCATAAAACTAAAATAATTTGTGAAACTGTCTTAACCTAGATATTGGGTAATTCTTCTACAATAAAAATTGTGAATGAGAAGATTTTACCCAGTTGGTTTTCCTCTATTAGAATGTAGGACACCCTGGCTTGACCGAGATGACCCCAGTGGAGTAGGAGACTATGAGACGCTGTCCTTACTCCTGATAAAATACCCACTGCAGGTCTGCCCTAAGCCCATCGCCATAGAGGTCACAACCATTAGTGGGACCCCTGCACTGCCACCTGGAAACATTTTTGTAGGGTACGGTATCCAGTGTTGGGCAGTAACGCATTACTTAGTAACGCGTTACTGTAATTTGATTACTTTTTTAGTAACGGAGTAATTTAACGCGTTATAATTTTCAAAATAGTAATTAGAGTAGTTACAAGCCGAGGTCTGAATACGTTACTGCCGCGTTACATTGCTGACAGAATGCAGTGTTTTATAATCTGGAGATTGTAAAAAGGATGTAGCACACGCATCGTCGAGTCAAGTGCCAGTGGATTATAGACCTGCTCTCCTGCGACACAAGACGCAACGCAGAGCGGGACAAGACTTGATAGGCGAGTGCAGAGACTCGTGTGTGTGTGTGTGTGTGTGTGTGCGCGCGCGGGATACGGGAGAATAAAATGATTCATGGGACTCCCGCAAAATAGAACTATCTAAACATAAAATATCTAAAACAAATACATTGTTATTCATCTATTGCACAAAAGCTACACGAACTAATATAAAATATAAACGATTAACAGGTGCAAGCGTATGCAGAGTTTTTATTTAGGCTATAACACGTGTTTGCAGCGTTGAGCAATGCAGTGCCGACATTTGCGTGCTCACAAATCCTCTCATTATAAGACACGAATTGAAGACATTATGAAAGATTCATTATGCATATATTTATTGGGTTATTATTACAGAGATGTGTGAGATTGCGATGAACTGAGATGTCTTTTAGAGATTATAAATGCAGCGCTCTTTGCTGGCATTCTGCCAAACCATGCACGCAGCAGCCGCTTGCTTTAGTTAAAAATAACAGTGCTCTGTGAATGTTGATGCTTTAATAACAAACATTTATCAGGCGCGTGTATGCTGGGATTTCATAAATTTCATGGAGAAAAAAGTAACAGTAACTAGTAATGCAACTGATTACTAATTACTTTTGAAATAAAGTAATCAGAACAGTAACGCGATTACTTTTAAAAGGAGTAATCAGTAATTTGAGTAACTTGCCCAACACTGACGTTATCATATATTCTCCTTATAAATGTCTCCAATTAAAATAGACTATGCTGTTATTTCTTAATGCGATGTCAAATAGACATGAAAAGCTTAAAGGTGCAGTAGGAGATCTTGGAAAATGCTAACTTTAGCCTGATAGCTCTGAAAGCGAATGTCCCACCCTCCTGCAATTGCCGTCCAAAGCCACGCCCCCTAAACGCATAGACGCTCAGAGACCAGAATACCAGAGACAACATTACTACAATAGGCTACATCAGCCGTTGTCAATTCCAGCCCATGTTCCGAAGTGAAGTAAATCCCTGCTGAGGGAGTAGGGAGCAATGAACACAGTGTAGGGATCATATCGATCGGAACACAGTTCATGCCCGTAGCTCACTTCTAACGAGTTGGTTATCTGAATCGGGTGTGTTAACTAAGCGAGACATGCAAAATAAGTGCGCGAGGACTGGAATTAGGAACCGCTGGGCTACATCATGTGTCATTCACCGGCAAGAAAACTTTAAAAGTACTACAATACCAGGAAGGAAGGTCGGGTTGTTGATGTTTGTCTGCTATTCTCGCTCTGTCTGCACAGTGTGCGTGAATGCGCTGATGACGTTTCCTGTCTGAGCGAACAGGGTGCGCAGAGGTATACAGATACATACATTGACAGGCAGGTAGGAAAGCCAATTAAATTGCTCGGACCGAGCATTTTGATTGGACGAACATTTCTTGATCCTACGCCTTCCACAGAATATATAAATACAGATAAATACATTTAGACCACTTAACTTAATAATTGCTATCGGGATGTGAAGAGACTTTCAACCAGCATAACAAAAATGTTTTCTGAAGACAATCACCTATTGCACCTTTAATCATTGCTTGTTCTGGATCTTCAGGAACATCTTTGCAAAATATTTTGCATAAAACTGCTAATGAATTCCATTTTATAAATACAGTTAATATATTTGTTATTTTCTGTAGATATGACCCGTTACAGGGCTTTGAGTGTAAGAATGGGGCCTGTGAAGACTACATGGTCCGCTTCACATGTCCATTAAGTTTCTGCAACACAAGTATGTATCATAATTCTAAGTACTCAACTTCCCTGTGTAGTATGAATTTATTTTGTTAGTATTATACATTTTTTGGGTCATTTTTTTATTTTAATACTTTTTTTTTCTCTGTGCTGTATTAATCAGCGTGTGTAACCAGGTGGTTTAATTCAGACAGCCCTAAAACAAATGGAAGTGACTCTGAACTCTTGTCTGACCTTATCAGTATGTACCCTGGACAAATATGTTCTAATCCAATCGGAATAGAGGCTCAGACCGTCTCTGGTCAGGCAGCGTATACAACTGGAGACATCTTTCAAGTGTAAGTCTATCAAATCTATTACATTGCTTTACAGGGCACATGCTTCAGAAAGTATTTTGTAGAGAAACAAAAAATTAACTCTAATTTTTTTCTCTGTTTGTGAAGGTATAATCCAGTCTCTGGGTTTGCTTGTGTAAATGCAGGCCAGACAGGAGGAGGGGTTTGTGATGATTATGAAGTGCGATTCTCATGCCCAGAGACATTTTGCTCAAGTGAGTGACATTTACACAACAAATAATACTGCTGATGAACGAAAGTGGACTGAAGACAAAGCGATTCTAGTGAAATGCCAAATTAATTTATATAGAATTACAATAACATACCATTGTGTTAACATGTCATATATGACAAAATATATGACCAAAAATCAAATCAATTAATCGCTCACGGACTGGCTTTGACAGCACCAATGTGGCGGACCGCTTATGTATAGCAGCCCATAGAAACATTTGTGTATTCATATCTATGCTCCAAACAATGGTAAATGTGTCTGCATCTTACAAGGTACCTATAATAATGAGTGAGTGAACAAATGCATTAATAAATTAATTAAATAAATACTAACAAGGTTGGGTGTCTGTTGCTGAGAATCTAGCTGTAACATTTTAACACTTTTCACACTCTGCACTGTACACTGAATTATTGCCCTCCAAAGCAGGGTCTCATGACCCCAGGTAAAAAGCAAGTATCTAAATTTACAAGCATGAAACTTTTCTCTACCTAAGGTTAAAATTGCAGTTTTAAAAGCCCTATTGGGATATTCATAATATTTGATGTTATATGACGTTTACTTATGCCCTGCATTAGCTTGTAGGACATCTTGGTTTGACAGAGATGACCCTGATAATCCAGGAGATCGTGAGATCTGGAAAGACATTCAGACATCATCATATGTCTGTACATCACATGTCACATATCTGCCCATTGCTATTGAGGTGGTCACAACCGTTAGTGGGAGCCCTGCACTGCTGACTGGAAACCTTTTTCAAGTGTATGACTACAAATATTATAAACAAATAAATTAATTTCACATGTAATTTTCAGCCATAACAGCCATCTGCTCTTATTCTGCAGATTTGATCCACATGAGGGCTTTGAATGCGTGAATAATCAGCAGCAGGGTGGAGGGGTCTGTCAGGACTACAAGGTCCGCTACACATGTCCGAAAATTTTCTGCGAGATGGTAGTTCACACAAACCTCTCAACTGAGGTCCTAAACATTAATGGCAGAAATTAAGCTTTGGTGAAACTACGTTTTCAATTTAAGTTTAGATAGCCATGTTAGATTAATGAATTAAATGAAGAAGAAGAAAAAAACATTAAAGATTTGCATTATCCTTCCCTGTCTCAGCTTTTTTTGTTGTGAAATTCTTTGTAAGAACATTGGCAGAAACTGTTTATGGTGATCCCTGCATATCAGCAAACTTCTGCACATTTTACTTGTTAATTTGTAATGGCTAACATTTAAATATATATTGTCAACCATGCTGCTATTTCCTCAAAAAATATAGCTTTATAAGCATGAAAGTTATTAGCTAATTCATGACATCTACTAACAAAAAAGACACTTTAAATTAATTCAATAACATATTGTGATTAGGCAAGTTCATAGGTCTTAAACATAATGAAACCATTTTTTACAGTGACAGCATTTAACCCACACATACTGTGCAGTTACCACAGTATAACTTTAACTTATTTTATTGTCAGGATATAGTACAGCATACAGTGATAATAATTAAAAATATGAATAAAGATATATATAATAATAAAACTTACTAAATGTAAATGTGAATTTGACACGCACACACTCACACACACACACACTTGGGAATCAGTGTCCAACTTTTTTCCAACTCCTCTGTTCTGCACCCTCCTATTCTCGCCGATGGACAAGGCTAGAGACAGATGATGCTGAACAGCCCCATCGGTCGTGGTTTTTTGTTTTGTTTTGCTTTTTAAAATTGTGATGTGCTTAGAGAAAGAACTAGAACTGGTCGACGTCATTTCCGGAGGAATATTCCAGTGAATCCTGCTATGCCTTTAAAAAGAGACGCGCTGAAAATACGTTGAAAAGCGTTGTCTGTGAAAGACAGGTGCAGTCTGTAAAATAAATGGCATCTTTGTCCTTTTAAGGTCATAACTGTTTTTTCGGGGACCCAAATTCACAAAATGTAAATTATAAATACTGTGGCGTCGAAGCTGACCACCAAAAGCCTTTATTTGTCTGCGTTACTTTTGAGTCGCGTCGTTCTGTGCTTGACCTTGAAGGTAAGTTTGTTCTCAGAGCGTGACATACCAAGTTTTAAAACAAGTCATTTTGATGGGACTATATGATGGACTTTATATTCTTATTCATATACGCAACGTAAACTATTGTTATATTGAAAGGCTCTTGCTCAGTATCCTTAATTTAACGACTTCATTGAAGAATACTTGATATTTTAAGGGGCGCAATACGAACCACTGTATATTCATTCAGTGTTTCTATAATAAAGCGCAGAAAACATTCAGATGCGTCTTTTTAATGCTTTTCGATAGCTGAGCGCAGAAACCACAACCTGCAACTTGATATACATGAGTCAGGACAGTCTCATCAGGCTGACTAATGTTGAGTGCACAGTTGTTTATACTGTAAACTAATGAAACTGAGTTTACGCAGACATTAGGCATACGCAGCCTGTTCAACTGCATTGAATGGCGGAAGATATCATTGTTTGTTTTTTGGTCATAAAATGCCAGTTTCACCATACATACGGGCTACTTAATCTTAATAATAACGCATCAATCAGTGTATTGGCAGGTGTAGTTATAACAACTTGTGAGAAAACCAGTTTTTCCTCTTAAGTGCGACAGTGTATAACTTGTGTATAACAGTGACCAGACTGTGAAAAAAACAGCGCCAGAAGTGCCGAATGTAAGCCAGACTCGGCCCACTTACTTGTGTAATAGACATGTGGTCCTGAGGCAGGAGTCAACGTGAATGGATCTCATCGAGCCTTCATATATCACTGTAGTATTATAAGAAGAGTTTTTGTCTTTAATTCATTTGATAGTCTGTTACTGATTAAACAGAGCTCTATAATTAGCCTTTATAAAAAAAATTGTTAAACGGTGCGGGAAGGTCTTGAGGAACTCTTGACTGAAAACAACAAGGCTACTAATGTGATTAAAAACGGTGATGGTAATAATGAACGTCCTAAAATGTGATTGTATGATAATTAATAGATGTAAAAGTTAATTGAAGTAATCCAGCTTTAAGACCGGAGACCACAGGTGAATAAGGTACATTTTTAACTAATAGATATCACCTCATTTTCCTCCTTGATTGATCACAGTACATTAAGACAATTATTTATTTATTTATTGTAAAATTTTATGTTTAGATGCAAATAGGGCATCATCAAGTTTCAAATTCTTGTTTCATTTTGCTGACATATTAAATCAGGAAATACTATAAACTGCCAGGGGGAAAAAGGTCATAATGTTTTTCTGACCTGGAAAGTTTGGTGTATGGAAGTGCTACTGAAGTGGATATTTCTTGCTCAATGCATCACAAAGAAAAGAATTGTCAGAAAATGGCCTTTAAAGATAGCCTATGTGTTGTAATTGAAATCTACTGATGCAAATAGATAAAGTGTAATGGAGTAAAAACACTTGAATGTGTATTTTGGATATTTTCTTTCCACTAATCTGAAGGAAAAATGAAAGCAAAATAGTCCCGGTCCATTTCAAAATGAAAAACAATGGTTGTCGTGTTTTGCCTTGTTTTAAATGGGTCATATGATGTTGCTAAAAAGAACATTATTTTGTGTATTTGGTGTAATGAAATGTGTTTATGCGGTTTAAGGTTCAAAAAACACATTATTTTCCACATACTGTACATTATTGTTTCTCCTCTATGCCCCGCCTTTCTGAAATGCGTACATTTTTACAAAGCTCTTCGGTCTGAAAAGCGAGGTGTGCTGTGATTGGCCAGCTATCCAGTGCGTTGTGATTGGCCGAATACCTCAAGCGTGTGACGGAAATGTTACGCACCTTACCATACTGTAATGCAATGTCCCGGCAGGAGTGACGAGACAAAAACATTAAAACGAGGCATTTGTTGCATCCAGTGGGGACATAATTACGGATTATAATGATTTATACTGTCTTTTTACGCGTTGCGTTGCATTTGCGCCGCGTAAACATAAAACCATGTCTGCATTTGTGATCAGAGAAATGACAAACAACAAGCGCTACTCTACGCTACTCAAAACTCGCGTTTGAATCGTCAATGGCAAATCCATTAAATTAAAACGTACTTACAGTCTGTGAGTCAGAACAGCTGGCATTGTAGTCTACTCTCCCAGGATCAGGAAACAGTCCTCCATAAAATGCGCTGGACACATCTGAATATTTTGGTTGAACTGTTCTGGAACAGTGTTGTAAATACAAATTAACCACTGATTTCTAGTCGTGTCCTCTTTTGGAAGACCAAACAAAGTAGTTTCGCTTTCACAACGAAACACACAGCGGGCTAGAGTGAGTGGCGGCCGGCGGGCTTGCGGCAACCACATGTGATGACCCCGGGTTAGATTCCGCTTCGTCCACGGTGAAAGCTGATCCAGCGATCCACCGCGCGAAGTTGATGTATTCCCTCAGCGACCTGCATGGATCAGCTCCAGGCATGACGAAGCGGATATTGTCCTCTTTTGGAAGACCAAACAAAGTAGTTTCGCTTTCACAACGAAACACACAGCGTCTCGACATGGCGGCAGCAACAATACTACAGCGAGAATAAAAGCTATGCCTTCTTTCTTTGCGTGAACATTTGGGCAGTGTTATGCAAATCTTCCCACATCATGACGTAGACGTGTGGGGGCATGTTAGAACGAGCTGTTTTAGTTAGGCGTGGTTGACTCTTAAAGAATATCTCTTTGGATTTGAGACTTTAGTCTTTGCAACTTTACAGATCTTCTTTATGCACCAAGAGCTTGTAACACTTCAAAGAGAAAGGAAAAATTGAAATCGCATCATATGACCCCTTTAAGGTGGGTCTTTAAGATTAGGCTGTACAATTTGGCAAACAAATTTTTTTTTTGAAAACAAAAAAGCACCATGGCATTACAGTGGTGTGCCTTTGTGGGCTGGTTAGCTTGTGAGGCAGGACTTGAAAGCACAGATTACACCCTGTTTTTTGCTGTACATGATATTATGTTGTTCATATCGTCATTCGGTAAAGCTGACTTTCTTATTTGATTTTGTTTCAGTACTGTTTGACGTGGAGAGATCTGTTGACCATCATGATCCTCCTGACTCCAACATCTGGTAAGTAGATTAATACTGTATGCAAACAGTGGCACATGCCATTTCTGCTTTCTACAGCAAAGAAAATGGCTGTTTATGTTTAGGATTCTTTTAATAATGAGTGACACTAACTGTGTTCTTGCAGTCAATAATCTTGGCAAGGTTTGGGATGGTTGGCACAAGATTGAAACTATGTGAAGTTGTAGAAAAAACAAAAGTGTGGACTTCCTCATATGTGGAGGACAGAGCTACAGCTTTAGAGGCTTGGTTGCACTTTAACGCAAGTGTTAAACTTTAACTTAAGTGTATTGAGCTGGATTTAAGCCCATTTTTGACCATGTATCCATCCCCAAATAAACAATTAAAAGGTTGATGAAACACATTTACATGCAAACTAATGACAAAGCAGTTTTAATAGATAAACGAATAGTTGTTTCTTAGCAGTTGGCTCTTATATCTATTAACTGGAAAATATGGGCCATGATTTTTATGACTATGGTGGTGTTTTTGTCCCATAGTTGCTTAGACTAGCTTCCAAATAAGTTTTTGTTTTTTACTGTTTCCTGGTTATACTGAGGTTCAGTTACACAACTTGAGTGATGTGTTCTAGAAACAGATAAATGTTAATCCTGTCAATCCTGGCTTCTTTCACACGGAGCGAAGGAACTAGACATGCACAAAGACCTGTGGTAATGGCTACTAGGGGTCTTTAGGCAAAATATAGTTGTAATGCTCTTTTGATGTTCCTGTTAGTTGTTAAGATTACAACCTCACAACAAAAAGGAAGTCCTTCTCTTTCATCACCTCATGCTTCATTATACTTTGGACTAAGTTCTAGTTCTTTCTCTAGGTAATATGTAATTTGAGGTTTACTACTAGGGTCTGTAAACAGGAAGTTCCATATATTCATATTGTGATTGTTAAACCATTTGACAGTGGCACAAGCAAACACAGTGCATAACCAGTGATTCTGAATTTCTAGTGCCATGGCATTGCATTTGTAGAAATCTAATGCCATTAGTTTCATAGCTTACTGCAATACTGTCATGCCACATTTCATCTGTTAGTTCTGATAGTCCAATACT